CAAGATGAAGATGTGATAGAGAAGTATAAATGTAGACTGAGAGAAAATATTAGATGTTTGAATGAGTTGTGTATGAATGATTTAGACTTGAATACTGTGTGGGATAATATTAAGAAAGGTTTGGTGGATACTGCCACCGAAGTATGCGGTGTAAGTAAGAGAACAAATGAAAGGAAAAGTAATACGTTATGGTGGGATGATGAGGTACGGGTGGAAGTTGAATCAAAGAAGAAAGCATGGTTAGATTTACTAGCAACCAAAGCTGATAATTCTTCTGGTATGAATGATGAGATTGAAAGAAAAAAGGCAGAATTTAGACGTCTAAATAAGAGAGTGAAAGAAGTTGTTGAAAGGAAAAAGAAAGAAAGAACGGATAAGAATGATAGAAGGATATCTGATAATTTCCAGGCTAACATAAAAATGTTCTGGAAACTCGTAAGAACTGCCAGGGGAAATACAAAACAGCCTATAATAAATGCTATAAGAGACGAGAATGGATGTATTCTGAATGATGAAGTTTCGAATTTAAACAGATGGAAGGAATACTTTGAAAGCGTGTTTATGAGTGAAGAGTCGTATGAATTAAATGAACTAGAAATTCCGAAAGAAGTGGAAAGGGGTATGGAGATAAGTGTAGATGAAATAATGAAAGCAATGAAAAGCATGAAAGCAGGTAAGGCAGCTGGATATGATAGAGTATCACTCGAGATGCTAAGGGCTGGAGAGGGAGTGGTGGCAGGCCTGCTGTACACCTTGTTTAATTTATGTTGGGAAATAAAACGGGTACCGGATGACTGGTGTAAAGCAGTTATAGTACCAATATATAAAGGAAAAGGGTCACAGCAGGACTGCAAAAACTACCGCGGTATCAGCTTGCTTAGTATTGTGGGTAAACTGTATGCTAAGGTGTTAATTGAAAGAGTTATGAAAGAAACTGATGGAAAAATTTGGGATGTGCAAGCGGGTTTTAGAAAGGGAATGGGGTGTACAGATCAAGTCTTTTCCATGCGCATGATTGCGGAGAAGTTTTTGGCCAAAAACCAGAAAGTTTTTTGTGCGTTCATGGACTTGGAAAAGGCTTATGACAGAGTGGACAGGAATGTGTTATGGCAAACACTGAACTCATATGGGTTGAGCGCTGGTTTGATACAGGCATTAAGGTCTCTTTATAGGGACTCTAGTGCCTGTGTCAGGATCAATGGGGTCTACTCGGACTGGTTTGGCATCCAAAAAGGTGTCAGACAGGGCTGTGTGGCTTCCCCTTGGCTGTTCAACCTATTTATGGACCGGTGTTTGCAAACTTTGAAAGATGAAGAATGTGGGGTAAGAATGGGCGAGTTAACCGTCAAATGCCTTTTGTATGCCGATGATCAAGTCATACTTGCGTCATCGGCGGCAGAGTTGCAAATGATGGTTACATTAATGAACTGGGAATTAAAAGAAAGGGGAATGAAAGTGAACGCAAGTAAGACGAAAGTGATGGTTTTTGAAAGAGAAGAAAGCAAAACGGTATGTGAAATAAGAATAGAAGGAGAGTTGATTGAGCAAGTGGATGAGTTTGTGTATTTGGGATGTGTATTTAGCAGGGATGGTAGATATGATAGGGATATAGAACGACGAGTAAATGCAGGGAATAGAGTGAATGGGGCACTACACTCTATTATGAAGAACCAGAATTTGTCAAAACAGGCACGTATGGTAATTCATAATGCTGTGTTAGTCCCTACTTTAATGTATGGTAGTGAAAGCTGGGTGTGGCAGAAGAAGCACGAAAGTAGAATAAATGCTGTAGAAATGCGGTCTTTAAGGAATATGCTAGGGTGTAATCTGAATGACAGGGTGAGAAATTGCGTGATAAGAGATAAATGTGGTATGCAAGATGATGTTGTGACCAGGATTAAGAAAGGAATGCTTCGGTGGTTTGGTCACGTAGAAAGAATGAATGAGGAAAGATTGACAAAGCAAATTTATATGGCAGATGTGAATGGCCAAGTCGGGAAGGGACGCCCTAGGAAAAAGTTTATCGACCAAATTGGCGATATTTTGAAAATGGGCCACGTTAGAAGTACCCTTAACCGACGAGCATGTATGCGTAGATATATGGATGTAAAGGAGGCGAAAGAGGTATGTCAGGATCGTGCCAAATGGAAGTCCGTAGTCTCTGCCTACCCCTCTGGGTGACAGGCGTGAGTGTTTATATATTATATATATATATATATATATATATATATATATATATATATATATATATATATATATATATATATATATATATATATATATATATATGAAGTTGGCTGCAGGTGTGCATGGACCACAGAAAGCACTTACAGTTAGTTTTGAAGTTTGTTTAACACTTCACTTTTATTAAAAAGGAGAGTATATATGTGTCATCCTGACCCCAAAAGACTAATGATACTGTCCGTTACAGCCTATTTAAGTCCGCTGCTGAGCATAGCTTCCCCCATGGACTACCTTATATGTCCCATATGTTTGCCAAAGTTACTATACTTGGCAAGCGGGTTGGTAACACAGTTTTATTTTTAGTTTTTATGTTCATCCTAAGACGCTGCAGCTCATCTCCTAATTTGATTCCTTATGTCATCTCTTATGATATCCAAGAGATGATATGATGTAATAGATATTCTTACACCGCCACTACACGATAAGATAAATAAATTGTCTGCACTATATATTCGTTACGTGGTTGTCTTGTTCTTAAATATGAACAATACAATTTGAACAATATAAACGAATTTTATTACAATTTATACTAGATACAATATGTTTTCGGTTTTCGTACGAACTTTTAGCCGATAAAATATAAATAAATAACCTTTCGAAACCTTGTATATTACATTTATATAAATTATGAATTTGGTACAAAATGACCAATGATCCGCTAATCAGACGAATAGCTTTATTACTACGGATTTATTTAGTCCCTTTCTAGTTTGTTTGTCTGTCTGTCGTCATGGGTGGAATTAAATAATAGATTTGAAACTCACCTCCCTGTGAAGTGGAAATTTGAAATTTTGAATATAGAACAAATTCGGACGCCAATGCAAGAATATGATAATAAAACCTGGTATATTAAAATGTTTAAATAAAATAGTTTTTTTTTTTAATTTCATTTGATTATTTATTCCGCTGTTAGGGATTAGTCGACTACAACTAAGTACAGCCGATTGTAATTGGATAAAAATAAGTGGAGGTGGTTGATTTCAGCTAAAACTAAGTCTAATAAATTCCAAATAATATTTAGAACAACTATGACTTCTGTTAACTTTGTCAAAATTACGAAAAGATCTAAGAGTTACGGCTAGGTTTGCCTGCAATGCAAAAAAGCATGAATAATTCAATGTCTGCCCAGGTTTGTCATAGTAAGCCTAACTTTATTTATTTTATCGCAATACTTTGACTGAGAATAAATCGGACACTCAATACACTTTCCATCTTAAAACCAAAAAAAACCTTAAACAAAAAGAAAAAGACAACACAAAAAAAATATTTCACATTCTGAATGGCTTTAATTCCATAAGGTTTGGCTTAACACCGGCTTTTTCTTTCTATCAAAAATTATTTTTTACCATTTTGAGTGGACTAAAGAATATCACAATGTAAAACCACTTTTAGCTTTGTAGCCACTTTTAGTAGTTTACAGTTAATTTCTGATTTAAACTAGAAACTATTTCTAATGTTTTCATTCGGAAATACGCGAACTAAATTGTGAAGTATCGAATTTGATAGCAAAATTTAAATTTCGCGTAGTCTGTGGCGCCGTAACTTAGGGGTTTTTTTGAAAAATATTCTCCTTTATTAAATAAACTAGCGTTCCGGAGCCGGAGCAGCTTGCAAGTGTGATTTAAAGGTCTCTACAACAGCGTCACATACCCATTCAAATGCACAAAATATTTCATCAAAATCGCTCGAGCAGTTTTTAAGTTTTAGCGTGACTAACAGACAGAAATATATTTTTATATATAGATATTTTATAAACTCGAAACTATTTGTATGGAGGCGACCATAGAATCCTATAGTACACAATAGAATGGCTGTCAAGCTTATTTTGTACGAGGATCGGTGTCGCCGGGAGCACACATATAAGCAATTACGTCGTATTATCACTACTACAAACCTGATTCGATGTGTTGACTGACTGAGTAAATTTAAACATTTTAGACTTTTGATTAAAGTTCAAGATCATCATTTAAAAAATCTTTTAAATTTTAATACATATTTATTTGTAAATAGTGTGCAATTTGGCATTTTCTAAATAATTTGCATGCGACATTTGGAAACAATTGTAACGTCAAAACACATCTCGTGTTGAGAATTTTTATACGAGGTAGAGCCATGCTGCAGTTATATTAGTAGTATAGTTGTAGCACGAATAGGTCGGCTCGACCGGGGAAGGACCACGCTCTCACAGAATACCAGCGTGAAATAGTAGCTCAATGCTGCTGTGTTTCGTATGGTGAGTGTAGAGACCGGAGACCCTTTTTACTGGAAACGAGGCATTCCACCTTATTCCTCACGGGTGACAACGCATCCGCATTTTGATTCGTAATCGATGATGGATGTAGATGTCTATGGGCCGCAGCAATTACTTACCATCAAGTGGACTGTGTGCTCGTTTGTCACCCTATCCTATAAAAAAAAGTTATACGTGTGAATTGACATGACATCACATTCTAGTGGCTACACGCTCCGCTCACTCCCCCGTTCTATTATATATATATTATTGTATTCTATGGAGGCGACTAACCAACAGCAATCAACTGCACTTAGTTGCATACGGCGAATACTAGTTTATGTCTAAAAAACACAGTGGTGAATGAAATAAAAGAATTCAATCAGTTAACCAAAAAATCAGATTAAGCCTTAAAATTAGAATATTAACAACGGCGTAGCAGGAAATATGTATTGTACACAATTTCAACACCTTACAGATATAAAATGCACCAAAAAAATATTACAATAGTTTTAATTAGGCTACATTAATCAGCGACTTCGAATTTCATTGTTATATCTGCATCAGTCTTCTTCATCTCCTGAGCGCCAATGAGTAGTGAAAAAGTCATTTTTAACAGTTCATTCGCTGGTGCTTCCACTATTAGCCATAACGGTATTGTAAGGAGGAAGGTCGCCATCACCATGGATATGCTAGTATAAACCTGATAAGCAAAATTAACAAACATTAATAAACAGAATCTTCCGTTACACCGTTACAGCCAAACAAAAGTCCTTTTCTGAACATAGATCTCACCCAAAGATCGCCTCATATGGAGGATATTTACCATAGCTGCCACGCTTGGCTTGCGGGTTGGCAACTACAGTTTATTTTTTATTTTGTTGTGCTATTATTAAGACGCTTCTACCCATCACCTGGTTTGTTTCCCTCTGTCGTCTATAGTATATATAAATAGTAGACAGTCTGACTGTTTGGAAGGCAAAGGCAAACACAGTATAAGGCGTCTATCAGTTTTTACAGTGTCTCGCTGTGTAGCTTGTACTCCGGAAGTTGTGGGGTCGCCGGAGACTGAGATCTGTTTTTTTTTTTTGCGTCGCTACTTATAGACGTGGCGTATTTTCCACAGTTATGCCTGGCAGGGGGATTAGCAAAAATAGTTTTTGTTTTTTTCAAATTATTAGGATGTGATCAAGATGATACTATCCATATACTGAATTTGTTACCCCCTGTCGCCTCTAGTACTGGTGAATCAGGACCACGTTGCGTGGCATTCCTTAAGAGAGGCCTATGTTGCCCCCAGCACTGGATTTGTGATGGGATGTTATGATAATGATGCCAAGCAGATAGTGAATACCAGTACTCAAATACCAAAAAAATATTTAGCAATTAGGTAATTAAATTCCAAATAAGTTGACTATTACTAGTGAAATTTCTCCCTTTTCATATATATATGTAAACATTTTAATCGTAACTAAAAAATAAATACAGCAAATTACAAGTGTTGGTGACCATTTTACTTTAAAGGCGTCTGTTGCAAAATCTACTATGCTTTTGCCTTTACTCGCAGCTATGTTTAGCAAATAAAAAATCAATAAAGGGCTTATAAAGTCAAAATTCCTATAAAACTAAGATAAAGCAACATAGATAATATAAATGTTCTTACAAAATGAAGGAAAAACGCATTCGTCGTGGTTTGGAAAGTGCCGACGTATGTACGGATGACTAAGACGTGTAGAACAAACGCACTGTAGGACAGCCGGGCTGGTGTGACCCACCCGCGCCACTCTAAAGTACTTCGATTTATTTCTGAAAACATAATATTTAAAAATTAAAACGGTTTGTAATTTTTTAAAGAATACTAGTAACATAGAATAGAATAATAAAAATATAAATTAATTTGCAACCTTCCGCTAACGAAATACAATGATGTGTCTTACCTGGATTGAATAGCACCTCCCGCACTCCCTCAATTGCGTGCACTAACTCCGTCACCACTAGTCCCAGAACCACTACTCCCAACACCACTACTCCCGGCATACCTACTTCCAACACCACTATTCCAGGTAAGACACACCATCGACGATAATACGACACGTGTTTCGCCTCTTCACGAGGCACCCTCAGGTGATGTAGACTCTATGGCGGCTGACCGCTTAGTAGAAGTAGTAGTCTAGAGTCTCATTTGTATGATTTTTTATGAAAAAAGTTTTAATATTTTTATTACAAAAGAGTGATAAAAGCAGTTTTTTATGAAAACAAAGTAAAGCAGTGTTTTTAATGTTTAGGGTAGAACATTATTTTGCAGCTACATAAAATGTTACAAAATGATAAAAATAATGGCGCCAGCTCCAGCATAATATACGAAATTTATTCGGAACTTTTTGATTATATATAGCACGTGAGGGTAATATGGTCATCCGGTTAATATGGTCATTTCCTAGTAACTCAAAAACTACATAGCCTTGTTTGCATGGATGTCTCTGTGATAAGATAGCTCCTCATCAGCCAATCAAATAATAAAGGCTCAAAAGGTAGATGTTTTATCGATCCCAATTTGACCGTTGGTTATTATGGTGTAGTATACTTAGTTTTTTATGTACTTAGATTTTTCGATGTGTTCTTATTTATTGCCAGAGCTTCTTTGCTATTTCTTTTTTAATATATTATAGTATAAGGCTTAGTGTTTTTGTCTCTGTCTCTCCTAGTTTAGGTTTTATAGGGCGACAAAGCTTAAGGTGAACATATTACCCTCACGTATCTTAATTATTCTTTTTACCGTACTTCTTTAATTCTCTTGGGGTATATTAAAATGAAATCTAGTTGATTCCCCATAAAATTCAGTATTGATACGTTAAATTTGTCCACAAAAAATTTTATTTTATTATTACGATGACCTATATTTGCGTAATTTTACGTACAGCAAGACTTACGCGTGCACGCTAGTGCGTGTGTGAGTGTAAATATATAAAAAATCCATAACGTCAACGCAACAAAATGTATAGTATGAATTTTATAGCAGAAATCAAAATCCGCAAAAAAAATGGCGGTCCTAAAACGGGACATGTTTAGTAGTATTGACCCTACCGATATAATACATAAATTACTAATGTAATCTTACTGTCACATTTGAATATAGCTCCCAGTATAAATAACGCCACCAACAAAGTGAAAACAGGTTTCACGATACCAGCGTACAGGGCCCTGATATAGATGGAGTCACGAGGAGCGTCGCGGTAAAATATACTTCCCAACCATATCGTTAGAAGCGCGGTGGGGAATAATAGTTGGTATATCCACAGATGTTTCTGGAAGTACAGAAAAATATTATATTAGAATATGTGATACTCATATCTATGAGTATCACATATTCTATGAATATTATTTAGCAGATAAAGACTAGCACTTAGTGTTAGTGCGAACTGATCAGATTAGAATGCTTTTTGATTCACAAATATTTAATTGTTTTTATAATATATTCCATCAAAGTACGTTGAAATTGTGTGATTAAAAATTTCAGTGATCCAAGTGATAATAAAACTACAGTTGCATAATATCAAATGTAAATCAAATGCCCATGAAGAATCGAAGTTCAAAATTTCATGTTTCGATCAAGTATATTTGGAGATTATTCTATAAATATGTCTACGTGATGTCGATTGAGAATCATATGAAGTGAATGAGCCATTGAATAATATACTCTATATTCAACAGCATCATTACCATCAAGCAGAAAAGGGCTCCTACATCTACATGATTTCTGACAAACAAATAATAAATAAATTTTCATAACTTGTACTTTGAAAACAAATTATAGTTTATTTTGTGTTAAGTTTTATTAATAATATATAAATAATACCACTACCTTATACTTCTCGACATTAAAGTTGGTGCGCAATAAATGATAAGTAATGTATCCCATGCTTAGGCCGATAATGAAACCTGCCAAATTGGTGTGCCCACGCTTATAGACATAATTGTAAGTTGGATTCTTGATAAAGTTGAGAGATGTTCTGAAAACCAATTTAGTCAGATTAATACAAAAGAATTTGCATGCATGATGAAGACTCATCATCCAATTTTGTTCCGTGATGTTAAAAAGTGGCGATTTAGCAAAAAGCTAACAAAAGACTGAAATCTCCTGATAGATGGGAACACAATCAAGTCATATAAAATTCCACACGTTAAATATCCAGACAGGCGAAGGGGATTGGCCTCTGGCCACCGTGATATGGAATTTGGTCTGAAAAACATTCTTTAACCAAAAATTTGCAAGAATTTTTCTATTTTCGTTTATTTATTCAAGGTAATTAAATTTTTCATGCAGTTCTCTTGTCAACTCCCCAATATTGAATGGATGTTTACGCACTCAGATTGTCATTAGCCGCCACAAATCCATCAATAATTCAAATAATTTATTAATCATTTTTAGTCCTAGAACCAATATGAAATATCAATTTTTTATAAAATAATATAATATTACTCTATCAATATATTATTAAAAGACATACTCACTCGGGCGAAACTATAAGAACAGCGTCTAGATCCTTCACATAGGTTACAACAGCAGGAATTATTACACCAGCTGCAAACAGTAGAGACAGTACTACTTTTCTAACAGTGCTATTTGTCACCATCAAGCAGAAAAAGATACCAATGCAGTATAGTTGCATGTCAGCTGCTAAGTACCTGTCGATAATGGAAGTACATACAACCAATCATTTATTTATGAGATAGGACCACGCTACAACACAAGGCACGAATGGTGGATCCTTCCCTATACTCCAGAGCACTTGCTAAACATTTTTTAATCATCAGATAAAATAAGCCAAAAAAAACAACTTTGCATAACCTTAACTTAGGTTTTCAATCAGGTTATAATTTATATGATGAAAAAATAACCCGTATCTGACGATTTAAAAGTCGGTACTTAGGCGAGTTAATAGCCGCCTTTACATGACACGTTCTCTCACTCACGATCGGAGTGTGCACAACTGAACGCGGGAAACCTTGCACGCGTAATAGAGAGTGGTTATTTTTATCTATTTTTATGTGCGATGCCTCTTTCGCGCACTATTACCCTTGTATTTTTATTCAGAGAGGAAAGAGAGTCGTGTAAAGGCTAATAGCGCGTGATTGAGTACGGAAAACTTTCGAAAACTAACCTGGGGTGTATGAAAATCACGCAGTTTTGTTAAGCGCACGCTCTAAAGACAGGAGTTCTAAAGTAGTATAGAGTAAAGTAATACAAAGAACGACTTGGTGATTTGACTATGATTCAAGAGTTGTGAGAAAACTGACACGCGACCCCTTAAAATTTGATTATTTTACAACAAAATCTCTTTTCGCTTGAGGCATTCTAGCTTGCAAAACTTCACAAATTTTATGACGACAGTCGTTTTCACAAAACCGCGCGTGTAAATTATCTGTGAGTGCACCCTGAGGTTTGAAAGGCTGCGTGAGCGAACGGCGCGCGCGTGCATTCACGTTCTCCTTTTTTTTCTTTACATGCGCGCTCTCTCCCCCCAGAAAGCCAATTTACGCGTTAATGAACATATGTATAAAGGCGGCTATTAGGTAATATTTAGTTTCTTGTGAAGAAGGAAACAATAGGATAAAATAAATTTTATACAAGGTTCATGTTACGATCCTTGTACATTTGTGTTATCCTATTGTTTCCTTTGATCTTGAGTAATTATCTTTTATTATTTATCTTAGCCATCGCCCCATTTTATCCTGTGGGTATCGTAAAAATGACTAAAGTATATTCCAGAAAGATATTTTATTTAGATTAGATTCATATTATCTTTCGCCAGACGTAGAAGGTTTTTTTGTCAGTTTATCCGGAATAGTGACGGTCTGAACGGAAATGTCTGGATTTTCCAGCCTGCTAAGCGTGGTCATATGCATCTCTGGCAGGACTTTGAATGATGAAGGAAATAATGTAATACATCTTAATAATTACCAAGCATGTGACATGCATAGTGTGTCGTCGAAATAGTTGCTAATATAAAGCAAGTTCTGCCAAGCGAAGCGACGGCAGTCTTCGGCTTCATTAACTACCGCCTCCTAAATTTAAGAAATAGCAATTTGTTATAAACGAAAAACACGTAGTGCAACAGCAACCTAAGGAAATTCCTTTTAACATTTAGCTCTGTATGAGCGAGGACTGGACAACGACCTTACAAATGGTATTTAATTGGCGATAGCAATACCAGGTGGCTTATTATATATTGACGCTGCTTTTCATCACTGTTCATGGTATTTAACATTCGACATGTATGAGGGACGCTAATGACTGTTATAGGAATGTTTATCTGTATAGTACATAGAATACTATAATACACAATATAATGGATGTCAACCTTATTTTGTACGAGGTTCGGCGTCGCCGAGAGCACACATAAATGCAATTAGGTACGTCGTATTAGCTCTACTACAAACCCGATACGCTGTGTTGACAGACTGAGTAAATTTACACATTTTAGACTTTTGATTAATGTTCAAAATCATAGTTCAAAGAAATCGTTTAAATTTTAATACATATTTATTTGTAAATTGTGTGCAATTTGGTATTTTCTAAATCATTTTCGTGCGAAATTTGGAAACGATTGTAACGTCAAAAAACATCTCGTGTTGACACTTATACGTGTGAATTGACATGTTAGTGACATTTTAGTGGCTACACGGGCTCCGCCCACTCCCTTGTACTATTATGTATATATTATAGTATTCTATGGTCTAGTAGTTTGTTTTACTTGATACGACCCTCTTCTGTAGCAAGAGCTGTGAGGAAATTCCACCTTACACTACAGAGGAATCTGCCGTCGTTGTTTAAGGTTGGTTGGCTTACCATGTATTGGCGGTGTAAGTAGGAATATCCACTACTCCATATCATCCCGTGGTTGCTGTAAGGGGTGGCAGAGGGAAACAAATCAGGAGATGGGCAGCAGCATCTTTCTGATAACAACTAAAATTATAAAATTGCGATTGCCAACCCGATTGCCAAGCGTGGCAACTATGGAAAATATTTCCCTTTAGGCAATCTATGGAGGAGGCCTATATTCAGCAGTAGACTTTAATAGGTTGTTACAGTAACGATAAAGGACTATTAGTGTCGAAAATCTGCAGTGACTGTCAACAGTCATGGATATTACCTGGTTTGTTAATAAAAATATAAAATTAACTAGCTGACCCGGCAGACGTTGTTCTGTCCTTTCTAGTTGGTTACGCGTTGAGTTTTTAGAGACACACACACTTTTCTATAAACTTAAAATACATAATACATATAACTAAATCCTCTTCACAACTCATAGAACAACCACAACCATTACTACAATAAACTTTAAAAAAAGATTACCCCTCTTTTTTACTCTTCAGTAAACGGATAAAAAGTTGCTTATAAGTCATACGCCATCGTTTACAGCCTACACACTAACTTTTATGGAAATCCGTCCAGTAGTTTTTGCCTGAATCGTAAACAAATAATTTTTTTTACAGATTTATTTTATGTATAGATTATTTTCAAACAATACAGTAGCGCTTTGGACTGTGCTTGCGAAATAATCCATAATTATAATGAGAGGTTTAAAATTGAATGGAATTGAATATATAAACTACACACGTGTTCGTTAATTTTCTGTTTATACTATGCAGTAACTAGATTTCAACTCCGCCTCCTATTCGTGAAATCAAAACAGTGACTTCGTTCGAAATATGAGCAAAAGAACTCTAAAACGAATTTCTACCTGTGTATGTATCTGTTATTATCATCATCATTATTACAGCCGATTACAAGTCAACTGCCCGCGAGTGACCCGTTGGTCAAGAGTGGCAACTGTGACAAATATCTCACTTATGAGACAATCTGTGGCGAAGTTTATGTTCAGCAATGGATTTTGTTAAATTGTATACCATAACGATGACGACAAACATCGAACCTACTACGGTAGATAATAAAGTATTATAGTTCTTACATTCCACATCGGACCGAATCCGACGAATCGTAACCAAGTAGATGTGATAGCCAACACTACCGCGTATACAGGAGTTAGCCTGTAATTCAGAAAAGTTTCTTTAATTTATTGAAAACTTTATAGTAGCAAATACCTATAAAAGCAGCAGTTTATGTACGTCCCAACACGGAGCAACGCCTTTCTCACATACTTTGAGAGATTTTTATGAATAAATATTAATAATCTTTCAAAAATGCAAGATTTAACACGTGGAAGACCTATGATATATCTATATAGTTGAAGCATAAATGAGTCGGCTTGCTTTGCAATCTGGTGGGCAACCTCAGTTTTTTATTGTTAGGAGTTGTAATAAGGAAGATACTGCTGTCGATCTCCTGTTTCATTACCATCTGTCGCCTCTTACGACGCCCACGGGACGACAGGGGGGGGGAGTGGATACTATTACGCACCCACTACACGGTACTATGGGAAGATACTGCTACGTTATAACATTTTCTATAGAAATAATGTGACAGGCGCACTTATAGTCCATCTGATGGGTAGTGGCTTATGCATGGCCACCAGCAGCCAATTTCAAACAATATAGACTACAGATGCATTATCATTTCTGAGGACTCAGATGAATGTTTCAAAACCTGTGAGTTTACTGGTTCTCCCTAGACATGGACACAGCAGTGCAGGCACTGCTGCTTGGCGGCAGAAATAGGTAATACGGCAGTACTAACCAAGACGAGCTCCTTGGCAGAAAAGAAGTCACTTAGTGTGATCAAGAGAAAATATAAGTATACCTCAACCACCTCCTGCAAATTTCAATTGGTATCATGGCCCAGGTAAATTTCAGCTTCTCCGATTTCATCTGCACATTGAAGGCCAACAAGAAACCAGACATTAGGAAGAAAACCTGAACAATGAGTGTGCCGTTTATGAATGTGTGGTATGACAGACTGTCGTAGATCTGAAACATATTTTAGCACATCAAAATACCAGCGTAAAATAGTAGCTTAACGCTACTGTGTTTCGTATGGTGAGTGTAGACAACCAGAGACCATTTATACCTAGAAATGAGGCATTCCATCTTAGTCCTTACGGGTGACAACACATCTGCATATTGATTCGTAATGGAGGATACATGTACCACAGCAACCACTTACCATCAGTGGACAGAGTGGCCCTTTGTTACCCTTATCCTACAAAAAACACATATTTAAAGTATGGATTGACCTGAAAGTGTACTTTGGTGACCGCTATCGGAACTCGTCGCCGAGTAGAACTAGGTGAAAAAAGCTTGGGCTCGTTTTGTTAGTTATGATGAGACATTACCTCCAGAGTTGATGGTGTGACCCGAAAGTGTACTTTGGTGAGCGCTATTAGAATTCCTCGCCGAGTAGAACTAGGTGTGCCGAGATTGGGCTCGTTTTGTTAGTTAAGATAAGTCCTCACCTCCGGACTTAATGGACTGACCTGAAGGTGTACTTTGGTGACCGTTATTGGAACTCGTCACCGAGTAGAACTAGGTGTGCTGACTTTGAACTTGTTTTATTAGTTATGATGATACCTCACCTCCGTTCTTGACGGAGTGACCTGAAGGTGTACTTTGGTGACCGCTATTGGAACGCCTCGCCAAGTAGAACTAAGTATGCCGAGTTTGAGCTCTTTTTGTTAGTTATGATGAATCCTTACCTCTGGACTTGTTTGATTGACCTGAAGGTGTACTTTGGTGACCACTATCTGAACTCGTCGCGGAGTAAAACTAGGCGTGGCGAGCTTGGGCTCATTTTGTTAGTTAAGATAAGTCCTTACCTCCGGTCTTAGTGAAAAGACCTGAAGGTGACTTTGGTGACCGCTGTTGGAACTCGTTACCGAGTAGAACTAGGTTTGCCGAATTGGGGCTCGTTTTGTCAGTTATGATGAGTCTTTACCTCCGGTCTTGATGGAGTGACCTGAAAGTCTGCTTTGGTGACTGCTATTGGAACGCCTCGCCTAGTAGAACTAGGCGTGGTGAGTTTGGGCTCGTTTTGTTAGTTATAGTAAGTCTTTACCTCAGGACTTGATGAACTGACCTTAAAGTCTACATTAGTGACCGCTATTGGAACTCGTCGCCTAGTAGAACTAGGTGTGGCGAGTTCGGGCTCGTTTTGTTCGTTATGATGAAACCTTAGCTCAGGACTGTACGGACAAAAAACTCATTTTTTCCTACGGCTATTTGTGACATTTTGATAAAAAATAAACACAAGTTTTTTATTGAATATTTCTTCCTACTTATAAAAAAATACCTTAACTCGTGTAGGATTGTTAATTTCGCTACCATTTGAAGATGAAGAACCAATTCAAAAAAAGAATTTTATTTGGTTAACTTTTTATCACTTTACCACTGCAAGACTTCAAGATACTGTAAGTTAGTTTTGCGTAGATCGGACCGAACAATTAATATTAAAAAACTGAAGGTAGTCGGGCTAACTATGACATTGGGACGTCAAACATCTCACTCTCCCGTGACCATGGGTGTTGTAAAGACCCGAAACGTTGGGAATTAAAAATAAGTAAAAGTAGTTAATTAGACGCGAAAAAAACCGTAAATTTAGTTTTATTCATTGTTGGTCGTAACTTAAATTCCCCCTATGGACGATGAGTAATGAGAACCAGAGACCGTATTTGCTGATGACGAGGCATGCCATCTTAGTATTCAGGGATGTCAGCGTTTCTACACCTTGACCCTCAAGCAAGTATAGATGTTGACCATGGGCCTCTGCATTCACTTACTATGGACAGTATGCATGTTTCATACTTATGAGTATATAAGCACACAGTCACGCGAGTGAAATTGTATAAAAATTGAAAAATTATTGAAAGTTTAAATTACATACCGCTTCAAGGTCTCGTGTGTTTTTTGGAATATGAGTGAATGGCATAAAAGAATGTGCCATTATTACCAAAGCCATTGTTATAGTCCTGAAATTAATGTCAATAAGAAATTAAGTCTTAGTCTATGTTTCATTTGTAACCTAAAATAACCTTTTATTTTGAATGTTTTTTTTTTTCATAAAACTGAAGTGACAAACAAACTTATAGTCCACCTGATAGCAAGTGGCTACTAGAGTCTATGGACATATGCAATGAACTTCGTAAAAAAAGGCAACAGATTCGTTTTCGCTTGACAACGCAGCTGTTGCTTTTTTGTTTACTGTGGGTTTTTAGATGGAATGCCTTAGAGCTTATAATTATACTGGCACGCTGTACCCTTCAGAATGGAACACAACGATGCAATTACTGCTGTGTGACCGCAGTCGTAGCTACTCATACCCCGATTCCTAGGCAGAAAAACAGTACTTAGAAGAGATATGGAACGTAAAACCTTAACCGTAAAATTATTAGTATGAAAAACAACTAACCAGACTGTCAGTTGTTTTTCATACTAATAATTTTAAGATATCAAATGTAATAATTTGCAATCATTGTAAGTTCAGCTCCTACCCCCTATCGTTCTTATTCACACATACCAGCTAAAAATAAATAATCAAACGATTTGAATTAATTCAAATTATATGTATCCTACTTTACACGTGGCAATTATCAAAGAATCCATTAAACCTTAAACCTTGATTTTGCCAATTTTGCAAAGGAATAAAATATTTTTCGATGTTCAATAATGAGTTATCATCTCTATCATTGGTGTGTTGTGTCTTAATGCAAAAATATGAGCATAAGAGCGCCGGAGAAGTTATGGATTCAAGCGCCAACTGATTTAAATATATGATATATATACAAGAATACATTGTTTGCAAAAACGAGACTACAGGTAATTCTGTGAAAATCATTTTGATGTAAGTATGAGTTACCGTTAACCGAAAATTTTACCTTTAATTAGTATTTTCGTTTCATATTTATTGATAGATCAATGTAATAATCTAAACAAAAAAAATTGAAGTGGCCGTCCGTAATATCGAAACAACTAACTTTTATTGAGCTGCAGGAGTTATATATATGCCAACACAATTTAAAAAAGTTGTCTACTCGTATCAGTTTGGGCTAATTTTAGAAATGGCTGAACTAATTATAATGAAACTTGACAAACAGGATATTTTATTTTGCGTCAACCCTGGAGATGTTTTCTAAGAAACCGAAAAATTGATAAATTAAATGGTTATAGGCGATTAACTTAAATATTTAATAATACCTCATTCTAATTAGGCGAAGCCGAGCTGATCGCTAGTATGTCATTAACATAGACTATAGAACTATTAAACACAATTAGTTTTTCCTAACGCTAACCGTAAAAAAGTCAGACATTGCTTTCGTGACTATCTCTGTGAGTAAGCAATTTAATAGATCATATTATCATAATTTATTTTACATTTATTATCAAGCGAACGTAACCCAAGACTCAAATATTGCGAACATTAATATCATGAGAGCGTGTTCGTCATTCGACTACTGTTTTGACAGTGGTAGAGCCACGCGGCAGCTTTTGTTGTTGCACAAATGGTACGGGTCAAACCGGGGTGGTGCCTGCAACCTCAAAGAATACCAGAGTCAAGTAGAAGCTCTTCTTCTTGATTTTCGTCTAGTGAGTGCAGGTGACCGGAAGCCCAATTCCCCTCCCACCTCCATCAACATGGTAGCGGAATTAAATAAGAGACTAATCCGGGAGAGTACCAGTGACCCTGGTAATGGTGAAGAACTCACTGAGCGTATACAACCAAGCTACTCCACTGCTGAAAGTGGGCGCTCCCCGCATATACTGGGGAATGGGGGGGGGACAAAACCTCCGCTCAAGACAAAAACTGTAGGGGACTAACTGAGTAAAAAGACTAAGGTGACCCTTAACATGCCTGCTGTCCACTTTCATCTGGAGCAATACGCAGGTGTCCTCTCAAGCTAATACTTCGTATCGCTCCTAACCACGGTACAAATTTAAACACTACTTTGGGCCTCGGGCTGGGGTTTGCGTACACATCAGAGAGGACATCTTCTCGACGCCTCGGCAGTCTTGAAGGTCATCATGTTGATTGGCTCGGTTCACGTCTAACCGATCATGCTAGGAGATCTGTTTATGACTTTCTTTGGTTTATGGTCTGACACAACTGGTTACTTCGCCTACGTGGATTCCAGATGTGGAGGATCATGCAATTTCCCTGTTGTACCTTCTGCTGACCTCTAATCTGGACGGATATCAAGTCTCCGTCGATGCTCCTATTGGCTCCTTGGAACATTGTTCAATCCGGAGTGTGAAGCCACTCACGATCCCTTCACGGTTGCGTTCTGCACTCTGCCGCCATGTTTGGAATTGCAGGTCGGCGGATTGACTCAAAATGCGGTCTTTTTTTTGCATCCTACCAAAGGAGACGGGTTTGCTTCCCGCTGGATAATCCCCGCGCTGTTGTTGCCTCTGTCACTGATGTGGTGCCATAGGGAATAGAATTATTTATTCCATCATTTGTTGTACTCATCGGAGACAGATCCCAAGCGTGATTTGATCGCAACTGTAATACTGCATTACGCTGTAATCAGCAGTGTTATCAGGCCTGGGCCTACGCTTCGGGGGGCTCGAGATGTAAACACCGGCAAGCTTAAAAACAAATACAGCTTCTCCTCCAGGTCTTCCGGGCTAAAAATTCTCTGTGCGTAAAGCACTCCTCTCCCTGAAGATCCACAAGACGAGTGTTCCTGACGGGATTCCCTCAATTGTGCTGAGGGCGCATGCTCCAGAGATGGTAGCGGTTTTAACGCGTCTTTTCCGATATTAACTCCATCGGGGTCGTTCAGCCGGTGATATTGTTTTTTACCTAACATACCAATGGGTGCAGGCCATCGAGTCTAAGGGGGAGACTTTGGCATTTGGTTTGGATATAGCGAAGGCCTTCGATCAGGTTTAGTAAAAAGCGCTTCTCTCGAAGCTTTCCTCCTTTGGACTTCCCGAATAATTGCGCAATTTGATTACCAGTTTTTTGTCTGATTGGAGCATCAAGTTCGTAGTAGATGGTGCATGTTCCGATTACAAACCTTTTAATGTTGGTGTTCCATAAGCTTGTGTACGTTTCTTCTGCAACGATATGCTGCAAATGATATATTTCAAGCTCGTAGCATTCATTCACTCTTAATACACCGGCCTTGCAAATATTACGTGGGAAAATGTCGCCGAGTACCGGAACGAACTTGTATCTGTAGTCGAGTCATTTTTAAACATTTTCCCAGATTGGGAGCGACAAAATCTAGTCCAGTGCAATCCCTAGAAAACACGGGCTTACCGCAAAAAAAATAACACATTTGTTGTATTTTTTCATCATCATTTTGTTGACATATTGAAGGATGTGCAGTTTCCTGGTCACCTGGAAGAGAAGACCTAATTGGCCTCTAAACAGATTGGCATGCTCAGCAGAGCGGGGAAGTATTTCATGCCAACACACCGTCTGCAACTTTGCAAGGTGCAGGTTTGGCCACACATGGAATACTGTTCCTATCTCTGGGCCGGGGCACCCCATTGCTAGATTCTTCCATTTGACTGCATCCAGCGCAAAGCAGCTCTAATCTTCGACAACAGAGTTCTCTTCGATCGGCTTGAAACATCGGCGCTGCGAAGAAATGTTACATCTCTTTGCATTTCCTATCGCATGTACCACGGCGAGTGCTTTGAAGAATTTTTTCGAATAAATTCCAACCGCAAAATTTCACGAACGCACAACGCGTCGAAATTCATGATCCCATCCACACCATCTGGATGCTTGGCGATCCACCACTGTACGTCTGTCATACTAGGAGTTTTCTTCCTCGTTCGGCGATTTTTCTGGACCGATACGACTTAGGAACCTTCAAGAAAAGAGCTTACTCCTTTCTGAAAGGCTGGCAACGCTCCTGCAATTCCCTGATATTACATTTGTTCATGGACGGTGGTAATCACTTTCCATCAAGTGAGCCGCATGCTCGTTTGCCCCCTCTGCTATAAAAAAAACTTTAATTTGGAACCAAGAGCCGGACTTCGGTTTCTCTAAGAGTATGGTTGACTTAACATAATCTCCACAATTAACAGACGTAGGTGGTATTGGACAAGTAAATTGCGTTTACAGCATTTTCAGCTCTTGTAATATAAAAACTCACCTGACACCATGGAATACTTTTAAGCGCTTAAAACGAGGGTTATCGGAATCAGGGGCGATCAATTTTTCCCAATTTCTCTTAATAGAGAAAGCTAGAAGAACCTTGTTGCCTGAAAATTATCAGATAAAATAAATAGGTATTACCCTTTGCTGAACATAATTATCAATTGCACACACATTCAAAAAAAAAAGGAAAATTAAAGAATATGCTTTGTTAAAAATTAATATCTTCATAAAAAAATTGTAATTAAGGAATTTTGCTGTTACTCACAGAATTGTAGTCTTGTAATAAAAATAATTATAACACCTTATACAGCTAGGATTAAAATAAAATGTTAAAATAACTTAAATAAAAAGATACAAAATCCATGTATGTTCATTAATCACCGTGTATTGGCATTGTAAGAAATTCCACTACCCAGATCATCCCGTGAGTGTCATAAAAGGCGACAGAAGGAAAAACCAGGAGATAGTTAGCAGCATCTTTCTAACAACAAAAAAAAATAAAATGCTCCTGATGCTAACCAGCCTGCCAAGTGTGGCAACTATGGCAAATATTGAAGCTATAAGAGGCTATCTATGTATGGGTCCAATGTTCAGCAGTGGACTTTTATGTGGAGTTTGTAACGCTAACATTATTTAAATCACATCTTTTATGGGGTACATTGCATGTTTTTGTTGTAGATACTCATTACACACGCAACGGCATATCTTTAAACTGTGGTAATACACAGAGACAAAAAATATTTCGTAACTAGCCTATTTCATATTCTTTTTTCTTATTTGCTATTTAGAACTGTAAAACTTAATATATCGTATCTTTGATCAACACAATTTTTTATAATTAGTAGTTAGATTGTATAATTTTGTCACATCTGTATTATTTAGTTTTAAGGTCGTGGAAAAAGTTTCTTCATATTTTATATACAAATTATTATATTTTTTAAGGATTTTTGAAAAAGAGGTTTGGTAACTATAGTTTATATGTGTCATTTTGTTCGATAACTTGATATATATATATATATATATATATATATATATATATATATATATATATATATATATATATATATATATATATATATATAATGCTAAAAATACTATTGACTTAAAATTTGTTACCTTGTTTTCCTCTTTTTTCTATATAGAATATATCGTAAAGGCTTCCAATAAGATTCGTCATCAACAGAGCAAAACAAAGAATAGCTATTACGTAGTCTCCGTAACATATATTTAATTTATTATCTACATTATCGTAATTTACGACTTCCAATATTTTCGTTTTCAACTTATATTTTTTCCAAAATGTATCGTTTAAGCATCCCTCAAGGGCTATTCTTATGTCCCGTTTTTCATCTCCATTATAATAATATCTCACACATGTTTTTGTAAGGCACACTCCGTAATGAAGTTTCGAATGGTTGTAGTGTCTGACTCGATGTTCAGAAAAGTTCTGAAATAAAAGAAAAAATATTATAAAGGAGCATCTTTATTAATAATATTCCTTGATAGATTTAGTGTCGCGTTATGGGGATGGGGACAGTGATGGATGTGAAACGGTTTACTTACAGTGCACTCAAACTCATCCATCCTTCTGCTAAGCCTAGGAAGCCTACTTTCTTCAAATTTCCTGGATCGAATCCGACATATTTATTTCGGTTCGTTGATTACCTGCAAGTGCAAAACGGCACCGCATACTGCTACACGAGAACTGATTCGCGAGTTTTCTTAAACGAGCAAGCTTTACGCATGAAATCCTACTAGCTGCGTCAGTCAAGATTCGAAATTGCCCCAGGACGTTTTTAAAAAGACTATTTAAAAAATACTAATAATGTGCGCTACATCAATTAATTAAAACGCGATATATTATACAACTTAGTTTTAAGGTACATGTCCGATACCTACATGTGAGTGCCAAACAAAGACTACCCTAATTCCTACTCTAGAATATTAAACTAAAAAACAGTTATCAATACGCATACGAAAGATTACGGTGAAACCTTACATCTTTGCCCACATATTTCGGTTTTTACTACTTTTTTCAAAAAATAGCTACTTTATTTTGATGGTTACAAAGCTTTAAATGACACTCTATGCAACAAATAAACTGTCAAAACCAGGTGACATAATTCTTAACAGATGCTGAGAAAAAAACAAAAACAGACGCGGGCAAAGTTATCTCCACTTTCTTACACCTTTCTTTTCTTCAAACATTTTTCTTACAAATTTCTTAGCAACTATAAGTTCTATGGCTTTAATTCTAAGATATATTGTTAGCAAACCGGCAAAATGGTATACCATTACATTTTCAAACAAATAGAAGTCTATTTTAATGATTTCTTAAATTTACGCGAACACTACACATTGAATAAAACTAAATTTACGGATTCTAGCGCGTTTATTTAAATGATTTTACTTATTTTTAATTCCCGACGTTTCGGGTGCTTTACAGCAACCATGGTCACGGGGAGGACCATGGTTGCTGTAAAGCCATTTAGTTTTATTCAGTCCATTTTAAGTTTTAATGGCGGTGGGCAATGTTATCACCACATTTAGTCACACTTTCATACTAAGTGATTTGAGGTGCTAGGACTGTGCATCAGATGAAAGGAAAATAATAAACTGATTTTAAGGCAATAATGTATATTTTATTTTAAAAATTAAAAACAAAAACTAACTGCACAACAAAAAAAATCAAGAAAATCAATACTTAGGTAGGAAAGTTAAAGAAAATTGTCTCAGAAATTAACCTTGATAGTTGAGATAAGGAAAAGAAGACAGCGACAATACTTATTTAACATAATACGAGGCCAGCTTATACTGATTTTGTTACCACTGATGTGCGTGGTTCACCTACTGTGCGTACCAATCCATTTTGTCGGCCATTTTTGTCTGCGATCAAATTTTTTATTAATTGCGATTAGATTTTGATGCGATGTCTGTCGTTGAGGAGACAATTCTCTTTTAGACTTTTTTTTTACAAACGAATTGCCGCATAAATCTTATTCAAAAATTTTAGCTTGAAACTGAAAACGTTTAAGCTCTCTCTTTTGGGAAACTAGCGGTTTCTGACAAAAATTCCCCACAAATATATACTTAATTTATATTTAAAATAACATATAAAACAGTATATAGTTACCTACTCGTATATAGTTATCAGAACAGTAGTTTAGTTTGCAGTTAACAGTTGTTATTGTTATACAGTTTTCTTTTATATACCTATATACATTTATTTATTTTATTAAGTATTCCTATATATTTACATTTTATGACATATATATATATATATATAATATATATATAATATAAAAATATTATACCCAGGTACATGTTTCCTTGGAGCCGTGGTAGCTCAGATGGTTAACGCTCGCTGTAAATATAACAGAACGCGAGTAACCCGGGTTAGATCGCCGCCGGCACCAATGAAATTGTTAATTGCAATTTTAAGTACTGATTTACCACGTGCTCGGCTGTGAAGGAAAACATCGTGAGGAAACCTGCATGTCTGAGGAATAAGAAAAAAAATATTTCGAAGACATGTGAAGTTCGCCAAACGCATTGGGGCAGCGCGGCGGACACTTCCCTGCTCTAAAACCCTCTCAGAAATGAGGGGGAGGCCTGTGCCCAGCAGTGGGACGTATACATAGGCTGTAACTTTACTTTTACTTTTACATGTTTCCTTGTTTTCTTTTTTTCAATAGTGTCAACTCTAATAACATTTTTGAGCTGGGCAATGTTGTCGACCTCAGTTTATAAAATTGCTTACAACATTACCCTCACAATTTTCTCGCTAACTAAGACAAGTGTAAGAAAGAGACCTTGATTAAAAGCAGCAACAATTAATGCTCTACACGTAAATAATAATGAATCTTACCTGCGCAGCGTTTCTTGGCAATGCGGGATGCAAAACTGCTACAATGTTTTTGCACCACCTTCGACTTTCGAAGGGACAGTCCCTTTGACGGTTTGACAGATGCCTGAATATAGTTAGCTGCGATTGTAGTAGTCAGTGTTGTCAAACAGATACTCTAGTGTTCCCTAGACACCATACAAAGTTGACATTTGTTAAAATAAAATGTCTATCGGTAGTTTTAGTTAATTTTCGTGTTTGGGCAATGATGTCCCCAAGGGCAAAGTTGTAAGGTTTCACGGTACTCGTTTTTCAGACGCAATTCAGCAATCAACGCCCTCGCTTACGCCTGAACTGTGATGGTCTTGTATATATATATACGAATTAATTAGTATTAAGGTTGTTATAAAATACTTACGTGAATCATATTTAAAAGCTCACTGTTAGTATCCGAAACAAGTGCGAATTTCGTCATGCAGTACACACCGTTCGGCTCACTCATACATGGCGCATAGTCTTCAAACTGAAATACTGGCGGCATTTTGTAGTACATTGTGCCTGTGGAACAAGTTCCAAAACATTGAGTTAAAAAAATTCAAATTAATATATTTATTTATTTTTATTCTTTATTGCATCCTTAAACAAAAGAATACAAAGGGCGGACTTAATGCCTTGAGGCATTCTCTACCAGTCAACCCATGGAGTGGTGAGAATTTGACATAGGTGTGGCAATATAGAATAATAGAACACAATACTACTAATAATATAATATACATATTATGATCTGTCCTTACATATATACAAATATATAAATAAATGCATATACATACAATACAATAATATTCAGTATATTGACACACTAATGATGGCCTTGGATCCCCTTCGGTATCAATAAAATGTTTAATAGCAATTTTAACTGCTGATTTACCACGTGCTTGGCGGTAAGGGAAAAATATTGTGAAGAAATGTGAATGTCTGAGAAATAAAATGTTTCGGGGATGTGTGAAACCCACCAACAGGCTCTAAGCAGCGTGGTGAACAAATAACTCTTTAAGAAGTAAGAGTCCTTTGCCTAAGCATCTGAGACTTTGTATCTATAATATTTCAAATTCATTTTTTAACTCATAATAGAGTTCTACGGTCTTCGTCTAATCATAAAATTGGTGTAATATCCAACTCGTTTCACTGGATTCTCCAGGAAATCCTTTACTGTTCAGCCTACTCTACTTTGGAATTCCTCATTTGTATGATATTTAAAATACGTAAATATTTTACTTTTTTAAAGATCATAAAGCAAGGTTGACTGGCAGACAATGCCGACAAGCATTAAGCCCGCCCATCGTTACCTCGGTTGTAAAGTGTTAAAATAAAGAATAAAATAAATAAATATGCAAATAGTAAAGGAAATGGAATTTAAATATTTGAATTTGTGAAAATCCTATTGATCAATAAGTTATTGGACGGTAACTACTAACTACTTATTAAATTTGAATGCAATGATTTTAGCAGCATCTTCCTAACGACTAAAATTAAAAAACTGCGTTTGCCAACCCGCTTGCCAAGCGTGCGAACTATGGAAAGTATCTCCCCTATGAAGTAATCTATAGGATAGGCCTATGTTCAGTTCCTTTTAAGTTATAACGATAACGGTAACTACTTTAAGGTTTTCAAATTTATAATTGTATTGGCGATTTAAAAATCTACGAATTGCAAACTCTACTTGCACTAGTCTGCCGTTCTAGAAACATAAATAATAACTTTTAATAAGATGCATGTAACACATTGGATAAGCGCTTGTTAATAAAATAGACCGTGTTAATCCATAAATTTGTATGTTTCTATCATATCTATAGTCCAACAAAAACTACTGCTCATCTTGATATTGGTATCTTATTTTATCGTGGACAACAGCAAAGTTCAATTTCTTTACATTTACATGTTGAACAAAAATGTAGTAAACGTAAACAAAACTATTCGTAAAGAGTGTTGGGAATTACAGCACACGGTCAATAATTCCTATAATGAACACTTTAATATAAATTTGTTTACAAAAAATATAATTTTCATTGGTTTAGGGATTTCGATGTATCGTCACTATTTTATTAGTTTATATCAAATTTAAGGATCGCTGCGCTGCTGGCTTTATTTTAGTGTTCTTACACCACAAAAAAGCCCGCATTGCGAGCTATTATTAAGCATTATATCTCTTTAGCAGTATTCTTACTCTACAGCATTATAACGTATTATTTCTTTTATTAACACCGCAGCCACTCACAGAACATTGTTAAAGACAGTTGTATATATAAAATAACCTTGTTTTATGTAAAATTCATTCTCTCCAGCACTGAAATTTTAAGGATTTGTTTATATAGTTGAATATTTTCACAAGCATAAATTTTGCGTGGACAAATATCGAAACAAGAAACAATCAAAAGACCGTATTTTGTTCCATGTGGGAAACAATTTCTCAACCTGCAATACTCAAACATTATACTACCGAATCCAATGAAAAAATAGTAAAAGAAGTCACATAAATTTGCTTAAAAAATTAAAATATTGTAAAAAGACTACAATAGTTACCATTTAACCTGTAAATAACGCCATGACAAAAATGCGCAAAAAGCACCAGTACAAAAATTGTTTTCTCCATTATTAATAAATATAAAATGCATACAATTATGCAACAAGAACTGACTGTACTTATTTGCAAATAGAATTATTTACAAATTAATACAATACTCGGCTGACTCTAGCACGGTATGTTTCGTTATGTTCTAATAATGCACTACAAACGCCTTTTAAGAATTATTTCTAAGCAAGTTCTACGCAATAGATCTTCTCCACGTAAACTCGGAGCTTGTAGTAAAAAAACACTGCTATGTCATTTCTAGTTAATCATTTTAAGTACGTTTCCCTTCCAACTATATTTGTGTGAAACGGGTGAAGAATTAAGATAAAGAACGCGGAGACAATTTTTTAAATTAATTTAAAAAAATAAAAAAGTACTTTTGAAAGTCAATAAAGGTACACCATATCCACATTTTGACTTGTTCTGACTTTTTCGATTTTGTTTTTCGATTCGATTGCCTTTTAATTTAGATATAGTAAAAAGACAATTTTTCATAATAAAAAAGATTGACACAATTAATATATCATTCCACTGATTAGGGACATAACCACTTGTTTATAAGTTGTAAAATAAATCAAGCAAAGTAAATGGTTAAAACTTATTTGGGAGATTTTTAGCCATGGTAGGTATATAAAATATTGTCCACCTCTGGGAACGTTTCAGTTGGCCAAACGCTCTTTTAAAATTTTTGTAACGAGATTTTCGTTTCTAATGAATCATGGGTTTGTTTTCCCCCAGGTCAGGTGTCAAGTGTCTAAATCCTTATCAATAAAAAGGTTGTGAGGCCCTTTAACCCTTACGCCACATTAATTTTACGCCAGATTAATTTTACGCCACAAGTCACTTTCAGAGGCTTAATGATCAATTGTACTGCTGAATTGTAAACCTTTCAATAAACGATCTCTATGCCCGATTTAACAATTATTTGAAAATTATGTAAGCGGCACATAATTTATTTGTGGGTAATTTATTTATTGCTTTTCTACCTTAGGAATCTAAGTGATCCCTACGGTGTACTTTATGGTAACTTATTTGTAATGGGCTATCCGGTTATAACCTCGTTTCACTCAGAACCGCTATGTCAATGTTTTCCTTTAAATCCATTTATGTCCCAGACTGCAAATTCTAGTGGATTTATTTTTTGTACTGTGTATTTAAAATGTCCAGTCATAAGTTTAGAATAGGCCAATCTGAAATATTATCTACTACAACTAAAATCAATCAATCCACACAATATTTTATTATATTTCTAATCTGATCTTGCATTGATGCACTTCTTTAAAATATGATCTTTTCAGCCTATTTAATAATTCACTTAATTTCACTTTCTTTTTAGAATAGCTTGGTTTCCAAATAGTCTAATGTTGATGTATCCATGGAATTAACGTGACGCTCAGGAGAGACAGCTCTCCTGGTGTCTTGCCGCCGTGTTTTACTGATGTAAGTGAAGTTAAGGTGATCATGATAATATGGAATTTAGCGATAAATTTTAATATAATCTGCGTAAAGAACAAAATTATAAAACATGAAACAAATATTAACATGATTAATGTACATGACAAAAGGAACAGGCTCAAAGATTGATCCTTGTGGATTTCTTCACATAAATTTAATTTTGTATTACATTACTATACGCTCTTTAAAGCCAAAACTTTAATTCTAATGGGTAGTTTTCAAAGTTATATTATGGTTCAATTGTATAATTTATTAAGTTAAAAGATTTATTACATGACTTACTGAAAAGAAGTTCCTATAGAATAAACTTAGTCCCTAAGTGTACAGGAATATATGAAAAACACCAATATGGTGGCTAATAAATCCACTCCCAAGAATTGTTGTCAATTTGAATTCTTAAATATGCATAAAGACTTCTATGTGCCTTTCTAAGGTGAACCAATAAATTTATGGTGACATGCACAGGATATAGTTTGTTTTATTTGATTCAACTCGGCAGCGTTTAGGAAAATACAAGTCTTCTTGTCTTACTTCAAAACTTGACAACAAAATTGTAGAACTGCAATAATCCTATAAGTATTTATAATTCTATTTGGATTGCTGTAAGTTATAAATAACGTGTAAACTGACTCAACTTATAATTAGAGTCATAATCCACTCCTGTATAACATTATAAATTCTTAATTCACGTTTTAGGCCTGTGTTAAATAGATGGCTGACTCGTGATGCAAGAAAACGACCACAGCGGAGACAATCGTTATTGGGGCCAAGTTGTCGTTGTTCATCAAAAGATGGTTATTGAGCCAAATCCCAGCAATCTTGCCAAATCCATAGAAAGTTTTTAATGTCAATAAATCATAATTACTGTAGAAGACGCCGTCAGTTCAGTTTTTTAGTAAAATGTAAGCAATCTCCATGTGTCTTTTATATGTTTATGTACCTATACTTTACTTGTAAGTATAATGCGGGGCTGCACTAAGGTTTAGTGCTGTTAATTATTAGTGTTTAAGAACAACTATTATCAACGTAGAGCCTAAACTACAGTATTTTTTTATAGAAGAGGGGGCAAACGAGCATGCGGCTCACCTGATGTTAAGTGAAAACCGCCGCCCATGATCAACCGCAACACCAGGGGAATTGCAGGTGCGTTGCCGGCCCTTTAGAAAGGAGTAAGCTCTTTTCTTGAAGGTCCCCAGGTCGTATCGGTCCGGAAAAATCTCCGGTGGTAAACTATTCCACAGAGAGGTTGTACGCGGAAGAAAACTCCTTTTGAAACGTACAGTGGTGGACCGCCAAGCATCCAGATGGTGTGAATGGTATCGGGACGTTTGCCGCGTAGTGCGTTCACGAAATTTGGCGGCTGGGATTAATCCGAACAATTCCTCAGAGCACTCTCCATGGTATATGCGAAAGAAAATTCAAAGAGATGCAACATCTCTTCGCATTGCCAGTGAATCGAGCCGATCGGAAAGCACTCGGTTGTCGACGATTCGAGCCGCTATGCGCTGGATGCGGTCAAGTGGAAGGAGCTGATACTGGGGAGCCCCAGCCCAGAGATGGGAACAGTATTCCATGTGCGGCCTAACCTGCGCCTTGTAAAGTTGCAGGCGATGTGCCGGCATGAAATACTGTCCCGCTCTGCTGGGCACGCCAAGCTTTTTAGAGGCCAATTTGGCCTTCTTCTTCCAAGTGACCACGAAACTGCACGCCACTCGATATGTCAACGCCGAGGATTCCGATACTGGCTGAGGCAACAAGGGGAGTACCTTGAAACTGAGGAGATACGACAAAGGGGTTCTTTTTAGCGGTTAACGCGCAAATTTGTGTCTTCTGGGGGTTAAACTGGACTAGATTTATACAGTAGATACAAACATAATTTTTTGATGTAGGTTTCTTTGTTACAAAAGCCTAAGGAAGGGTTTTCAGAAATTCCACCTCTCAAAACAGATATTTAGTATCCAATAATGCGTTATCTAACCACGTTATGCGTTAGTGTAGCCCCTGCGTAAAGGTTATGGAAAACATAGTAGGAGGAAACCAGTACGCCAGCGTAGGATACGCTGAGTAATTAACAAACAAAAGGTGAATAGGTATTTATTTTACCTACAGAATGTGGTGTACGCCATTGACGAATCACTACCAATGTCAATATAACGCTTTTTTAAACCATATTTTAAATGATTACAAATTGGGACCAGAAAACCCCGTTTCCTTTGACTTTATTCTTAATAAAAATAGATAATTTTTTAGAAATTTTATCTCGCGTCGCTAACAATACTAGTAACTCAATTAAATAACTCATCCGCCCTGTTTACCCTAATAATAATTGAAGAGACTAGATATATATGTTTATATTACTTATCCCCCCATTATTACTGTGAATATCACGCCTGATTCCCATATTTATTTACTAAAATTATTATCGCATCGTTTCCTAATTAGGGAACAATAAAATAACTAGTTCCTAATTTCTTTGTATATCTTCACGCTCTGTTTACAAAAGGGGGTAGACAACAGTGGCGAAGCTAGAGCTCCAAGCTAGGGCAAGCCCAAGATATAAATTGATAAAAATATAGATTGTTGTTTTTAGCAGTTTTATAAAAATACACCAATCTTGATCTGTCTCCACGCTTCAGTTTCATATTCAGTGCTGTCAAGGACGTGTTTAACAAAGCACACAGAAGGCGTACCACTGCTAGATAGATTGTATTACATATCAGCAATTGCATAGCTTCGGTGGCTTTGAAGAAAGCCGTTTGGGTTTGTTTAAGCGAAAGAAAAAAAATATTTACATCCAATACAATACATGAACAAAAGTAAAACACGAACAAAGTACAAACAAACTATGTACAAAATTAAAAAAAAATTATTTACATTCTAATGGATAAGAGAAAGATAAGTTAAGTGGAATCGTCTCGCTTTCTTATGGAAAGATTTAATTACGTTCCACCTAAAATGTTGGTGAACGTTTTAATTGTACCAATAACTGTTTTTAATTGCGATAATTGATAAGTCTGAAATACACTCTTAACCTTGTGTATTATCTCAACAAAGTTTAAAGATTTCCTCTTCGATTATCACTTCAACACACTTCAATCGCAAGAACCACTATTATCTTCCATTTTCATTAAAAATCTTTAAAAAAAAGCATAAATTTTGAACTCGTAATATTAAATCGCTTAAGATAAGCATACAGAGTAAATAAACATTGAAACGTGAAATGAACTTGCAAACGTATTGCCCGCGCGCCTCCGCTTTTAACAAATTTATTCCCAAAAGCCTGGCTTTAAATCTCTATACTAATTGCTATATATACAATCGTAGTTATATTTCATTATAGAATATTTTGCCATAGGTTAGAAAGAGAGCGATCGTCTTCTCGAAAGCCCCGTAAAAAGCCCACCCGAGCGAGGGAGACAACTATTAGCTCTATTAAAACTCATTTTTTATAACAGCAGCAGGATCGCTAAGGCACTACGAGGTCATCGGTCGACATGTGTCGAACAGCGGAGTGCGCGGGAAATTTAAAATAGCTTGAAACATTTTAAGAGTTATTTTATTAGTTG